CGAAACTCACTTGGCAAAGTCAGTGTTTTACTACATTAGAAGTACGGTGATGTAATCGGTATTTTTTTTTACTTTTTTTTTGTGTCAGAGCGTGACAACAGTGGGTTTGATATTGAATGCGTGGGGCTGATACGGTTCTTGGAGTTTGGAAGGTTGGGAAAAATCGATGGTGATGGAGGAAAACTTCAGACATGTCGGCTAGAATATGAATCGCCTGAATTTTTGAGGTGTTTGTCGAAGTATTATTCTCACATTTTACCTCTGTTTGACTTTTTTCATTGGAAAAATCAGAATAGAGAATACATCCCTGCATTGAAAAAAATATAAGCGAAAACTTATAAGTGAGATATAGTGATTTTGCCGGAATTATATCTTGAATATATCCACCTTATTTACCAGGTATATGCTAAATATTTTCCGTGGCACATATGTACACACATATGTCCAACATATATCTCAGATATTGCATTTTTTGGTGGAAAGTATATCACATATAAGCGGATATAAGTGACATATATTTCTGTATATATAGTTTTTCCATGTGGGTCAATTAATTTGATATAGGGGAGGGTGGAGTAAAATTGTGCATAACTCAGAAACAAATTTATCAATTGAGTTCAGTTTAGGCTCGTCGCAAAGGAAAAGAATTGTTCTTTGTATTGAAAAAAAAAAACTATTAAATTTCATCAACATTTCAACCCCTCATGGAGACCATATGGTAGTCATATAAGGTCATATGTGCGTCATACAGAGATCATAGGATGCTCATTTGGTGGTCGTATGAGGATCAAATGACCTTCATATGCGCCTCATATGACCCCCATATAACCGCCGTGTAACCCCTATATGACCCCATATGACCATGATATGATTCCCATGGCCACTATATGACACTTTTGGCCGTCTTTGTGACCTTTATGTCTCTAAATTTTATGGGAAATCTAGTTGAAAATCTCATAGGAAATCCTATCTGGAAAATCCTATAGGAAATGTTCGAGTTCTCCATAGGATTTCCTATCCCTGATGAATCAAACACAGAGTTAACTGTAGGTTCATGGAAATTTCCCAGAGTTTCTCTCTTTCTTCGTTGGATTTTTTCAATAAACCCAGAATTGACCCAGAGTTAACTCTAGGTTTGATCTATCAGGGATAGGTAATCATATAGGAAAGCCTATCCGGAAAATCCTATGGGAAATGTTCGAATTCTTCGTAGGATTTCCTACGGGAAATCCTATAGGATATGCCATAGGAAATCCTACAGAATTTTTTCATGCGCGTACCCCCACTTTCTCGAATGGAGCTCCGACTCGACGTCTCCACCACTCAGATCCAATATCATTCTTTCCTGACGGCGATAATATGCCGTTTCGCTAAAATTCGATGAAAATTAAAATTTAAGTAGGGCTTTCATTAAGCCGCGCATAATTGATTGCTGAGTATTTGTTCCATTTCTATACCTCCTTGATCCATTGATAGGTAAACTTCTCGTTACGATTAGTGATTAAATCATCAACGAGAATTAATGGCATTATCGTTACCCTATAACAAGGTAATGAAAAATGAATTTAGTTCCATTACTGATTATTACGAAAATAATTAGAATCTTTTCTCCATTAATCATTGATGCCGTAATGGAGAATAAATTTTGCTCCATTATTAACGATGAACCGGCGATGACTGAATATAGAAGGTGTGGCAGAGGCGAATCTATTGTATTCATGCGGAACACCAATCCCTGAACAAAAAAATTTGGTCTCTTCCAATTAAATATCTAGATCATATTTGAAGTCTTCTATGGACAAATATTTTTTTAAATCTTTATTCAATTTTTTTCCACATCATGCATGTATTAAAACTTCTTTATATTGAATTTTAATAATAAATGGTAAATCATTAATTTGTGAACAAAATGGCAACGTCGGCGCGACATAATACTTTATTTCTCAGAATTGGTAAACCTGTCACGCTCTATTGAGGGTTTTCGCTGTACATAGTCACGCGCATAAACCCGCGTAATTTTTTTTTCATCGCGACACGTTTACCCGAAATTGTATATTTCGATACGAGTGCGGAAAAGTGACGTTTTAGGCACGCTTCGATTTATAGGGCAAAGTAAGAAGTTTCTTTTTTGCACAGCGTGATGAAAAAGTCGTTATCCACGACTTTCGAAATTCCTATTGATGAAAACAATAATATAAATACTAAATTTAAATAATAAATACTAAAATAAATACTAAATAATGCTAACAATGCTCATTTAGTATTTAATACTAATTTAAATACTAAATTTTGATACTAAATTTAAATTTATAATAATAGTAAATGAATCCCAGGGCCTCTCTGTGAAGTAACCAGAGATCACTTTAGATCCACAACTCTCTTTTATACACGTTTGAATTTACTGCGTTTATCCCCACCCAATCGGCAGGTGCTGCGTTGTCGCATCAGTTCACAACTGCGCGCGCAGAAATTCTAATTTTCAGTAGTTTTTTGTTAATTTTGGTTAAAAAATGTTTCGAACCGATGTATTTTTTCATGCAGACGGTATATTTATCAATATGTCACACGTGGACGAAGTTTCGTGGCATTGGCTGCATTTTTACGTTCATAGTGTGGATTTTTCTATATTTGCCATAAGAACCCGGATTAAATTGCACGTTTAAAAATAATTTATTTCATTTGAACCATTCTCTGTAGCAATCTAAAACTCCACACAGGGCTACGGAATATATTGAAGAATGTACTCAAAAAATGTCATAAAATTGACAGCATTTTTTTTGCCTCGCTAGTTCATCGTTAATGCCAAAAGACATCAGAGTGTAGTTTTATTAGCCAGTCTTAATGGTAGTAAGAATCAGATTTGTTTTCATCAACCACTAATATAGTACACACAGAAAAACCTAAATATAATTTATGACGTCGTATTAGTAAATTACATTCAAAATCGCCGTCAATTACAGTAATATGAACGTAATTTACGATTGGTATTCGTAAGTTACAGTTACATAAACATCATTTACGGTTTCGTAGTCGTAAATTACGATGTTATTTTCGTAAATGGACACTTATCTAATTAACAACGAATTTTCGATCAAAATGCCATGATTCTTAGGACGAATAGGGAGGTTCAAAATGTTAGAGTCAAAAAATGAGGATCAGAATATACGGTACAAAAGTTGGGGGCTAGACAGAGTGAGGGTTAGGATATAAACTGTGTGTAGTCCAGGGGCTGCCTGATTTCCTCGATGCGGGACAGTCCGTCAGCGACGACGTTGTCCTTGCCAGAGACGTGGCGGATGTTATCGCTGAACTGACTGATGAAGTCGAGATGACGGGACTGCCTAGATGATGACTTCTCTGGCTTCTGGCGGAATGCGAAGGTGATGGGCTTGTGGTCGGTGTAGATAGTGAACATCCTGGCTTCTACCATATGCCTGAAGTGTTTGATGGCTAGGTAGATTGCCAGGAGTTGATGGTTGAATGCGCTGTATTTTCTCTCTGCTGGGCTGAATTTCTTAGAGAAGAAGGCTAGCGTCTCCCAGTCCCCATTGATGTGCTGCTGCAACGCTGCGCCCACGGTGTGATCGGAATCATCGCAGATGAGTGTGAGCGGCCTTGGGATAAGCCAGGAGTGCAGCGTCTGCGAGGGTGGTCTTGCAGGCGATGAAGGCTGCTTGGGCTTCTGGAATCCAGTTGATGGGCGTCTTTCCCTTGATGTAGCCCTCCAGAAGTCCGTTGAGTGGGGCCTGGTCTTGAGCAGTTCTGGGTATGAATCTCCGGTAGATATTCAGCATACCCAGGAACTGACGAAGCTGTTTGGCTGTCTGAGGTGTTGGGTAGTCTAGGATGGCTTGGACTTTCTTGGGCAGCGGCCGTGTGCCCTCCTTGGACACCTGGTAGCCCAGGAACTTCACTTCTGGCTTGCCGAGGACGCACTTCTATGGGTTGATGAGGAGGCCATACGACTGGAGTCGCTCAAACAGGATCCTGAGGTGTTGGAGATGCTGCTCTGGAGTTCCTGACGCTATCAGAATGTCGTCGATGTAGGCGTAACAGAAATCCAAGTCTCGCAGTACCTCGTCGATGAAGCGCTGGAACGTCTAGGCGGCGTTGCGTAGGCCGAACGACATGTACGAAAATTCGAACATGCCGAACGGTGTAGTGATGGCCGTCTTCTGAATGTCTTCCTCAGCAACTGAGATTTGATGGTACGCCCGGACCAAGTCGATTGTTGAAAAAATCTCCTTGCCCCAGAGCGTCTGGGAGGGTCCTGGATGTGGCGAACGGTCTGGAACTGTACGTGCGTTGAGTGCACGGTAGTCTCCGCAGGGTCTCCACTCATCGTTCTTTTTCTTTGCCATGTGTAGTGCCGATGACCATGGGCTATTTGAGGGTCAAGCAGTGCCAAGTTGAACCATGGTGTGGAAATCCTTCTTGGCATTTGTGAGTCGATCTGGAGCCAGTCGTCGGGGTTTGCTGTTGACCAGTGCTCCTGGTGTGGTCTGGATATGGTGTTTGGTGTTGTGCTGCGGGGGCTTGCCTGCCCCGTCTGGTCTGGTGAAGCTGGGAAACTGCTGGGAGCTCGTGGTACTCTGATGTGCCTGTCACCGTTTTGATGCTCGGCAAGTCGACTGATTCGACTTGACCGAATGAGGTAGTGAAGTGACTGAGTCCACGAGCCTACTGTTGCGAAGATCCATCATTAGTCCGTAGTGAAACAGGAAGTCCGACGATGGGTTTGGAGACGTCGGCGATGACGAAGCGCCAAGGAAACATCCGTCGAAGTCTGAGGCTGAGAGCGACGCTGATGGTGCCATACGTGGGAATGATTGTGCCGTTCGCCGCCGACAGCTCGTATGTGGACTTTCGCTGTGGCTCATGCACCGACCGTCGTGGGAAAACGCACAGATCTGCCCCGGTGTCGATCAAGAAGCGTACTTTGCTCTCCTGACCAGTGATGAAGAGGTGGCGGGTTGTCGGGCCTGAATCACTAGCCGCCATTAATGACTGCTTGTCCCATTTCCCGGAGTGGCGAAGTTACACGGCTGCATGCATGTCCTGGCTTGGTGTCCAAATCGCCAATGGTACCAACATGGACCATCAATCCCTGGCTGCCGGTGCTTGGAACGTGATCTAGATCTGGAACGTCTAAAGCCGCCACCACCTGGATGTCCTCGGTCTGCTCTCCTTGTCCGCTTGAGGCTCTCGATCTCGTCTCGCATCGAGTTGAGCTTCTCGTCAAGGGTGAGAGCCAACTGAGAGAGTTTGAGGCTGAGGAGTGCCTCAATGCCGTGGGCGGATGTCTCTGCGATCTGAGGTGCGACTGGTGGGATCCTCGACTTCAGAATCTGGATTGTCTTGTCGGCCAGTTCTGCGGCATCCTCAAGAGCAGAGTTGCGTTGTGTGGCCAACAACGCCTGGACGTCGGCCGGGAGGCGTGTTATCCATAGTGTTCGCAATGTGTCGTCAGGAAAGCTGGCTCCTGCCAGGTTGCGTAGGTGATGCAGAAAATGAGACGGTTTCATGTTTCTCATTTCTGCGCCCTCCAACAGTCTCCTCGTCTTCTCTTCCTGAGAGGAGCTGAGGCATTTAATGAGCTCCATCTTCAGGTGTGTGTAAGAGTTCTCCAGTGGTAAATTGAGAATGATGTCCCTCACCTCGAAGGCGTGCTTCGACTTGAATAGCTTGCCACATATGTGTCCAAACTTTGTCGCCTCGGAGGTGATGCCGGCTGCGTGGAAGCTGCGGTCGGCAATGCTGAAGAACAGCTCTGGGTCTTCAGGAGTAAACTCTCCTAGTTGAAGAGCCACTCGACCGATCTGGGCCATTCCTTCAACCAGAAGGCTCTGCTGTTGCTCCGGGGTCATCATGGGAAGCAGCGACTGGTCGACGAGGTCTGCGATGACTGTCGGGACCAGTGGAACTGTCGCTGGGCTGTTCTGCTGCTGCGCTGGTGCGTCTCGCTCCAAGATCATTAGGTCCTCTGGGTTGCTGACTGCTCGATGTCCACGATTTCAATTTTAAATCACGTCGGGGTCACCAATTTGTTGAGGTGAGCAGGTTCATGGAACGATGTGTAGTCCAACGTTGAGCGAAATTGAGTTTATTATTTTCCTTTGAGTTTCTTTTTATGTACAAAATATACAAAGTTATGAGAGTGTAAACCATAAGAGGACTTGTACTCTGTGTGACCAAGTTGAGTGTTCGAATGATGAGCGTGGAATGATGATGAGTGTGGAAAGTGTGCGATATTTAAGTGGAGTGCAAGGATGTGATTGGTGGAAAATTTGGAGAAGGGATGAGTGAAATCCTGGCTTCCGATTGGTTCGGCGCTGTAAGTTTCCGCCGGTGAACTGTGATTGGCTCGGGGGTCCCGGCGGGGAAATTTCGGTCATGACGTCATGGGCGCCGGTCAGGCGGACGAGGGATTATGAACGCCAGGTGATGATGAGGGATTAGGACGCACGGAGGATTATATAAATAACCATAAATGCGATGGACTGTTTATGGTAGGGAAGTTTTGAGGATTAGGTTTTAATTTTCTGTGTGAGAGAGCTGGAGTGATTTGGGGATTGGCCCACTGTCTAGACAGGGGCATAGTGGAGACACAGTCACCACAGGCTCAACATTTTTTTTACTTTTCCAGGTTCCCCGTGATATGTGAAGTGTCGCTCGATAACTATTTTTATCAACCGTCGATTTTGAAATTTCAGTATGGTACCCCGTTAAAAATTCTCATCATGTGCTGAAATTTGAAAGAAAAACCTCAGCTATTTTATAAGGCAGCCAGTGCGCGACAATCGCCAACTCTAGTGTCACTCCAATTCGTTTGAACATAAAATTTGAAATTCAACGGTCACTCGAGGTACTCGACATTTTCCTCCCCCCACCTCGAACTTTTGATTCCGTAAAGGCAGAAGACGTCAAGAGAATAGGGGAGCTCAGAATGGGTCACTGACTCTTATTCAGGTCAACTGCATCATCATCCCCATTTCCATACGACCCCTTCTCTCTCATTTTCTGCATGCACTCAACCCGAGTCACTTGCGAATACAAACCATGCTTCCCGATCTATTTTCACCAGTTTAAACGTTTTCGTTGAATTTGTCACAGTATATGTGTGTGAAAATTGTGCCTATGGAAACGTCTTCCCAGGATCATTTGTAACGTAGTGGCTATTTCCGTGTGGGATGAAATGGGCATGCGTGAGGATATATGCGGGTCAGTTTGTAAGTGGAGAGAAGAGGGACACAGAGAGCAGGGGTTTCCTGGATTTTATGGGTTGTGACGTCGAGGCATTAGATCAATACGTTAAGTGTATTTTGATATCAAGGATTCGGGAACTGAAATGTTCCCTTTTCAATCGAGGGAATACGATCCTGTTATTGTTTTGTAGCATTTCGAATCATGAGAATGATTGGCTATTACACCCAGAAAAATGGGTTTTTTGAATCAAGTAAAAATCTTTATTTGATTTTTTTTCATATTTCAAAACAAAGGATTTAATTACATTAAACAAACAATTTGTTTACTTCCAATAAATAATTTTTTTAACATAAGAAAACTGTTTATTGGGTATAAATAATTTTTTTTTTCGATGAAATAAAGATTTATTAATGGTAAAAAACGTTTATTTAATATAAGTAAAACTTCGAATAAAATTTAAAAAAAAAATCATGAATATTCAGAGTCATTCAAATGACATTTTGCACAGAATTATTATTTTTTTAAACATTCGTTGCTTATAAATAAATAATTGAATTTTTTTTAACCCTCGGAAATCTTATTCTTTTAGGCATGAAATCGATTCTTGGTAAAATTCGAAATATGAATAAATTTATTACGATTTCAAACAAATGATTTTTATAGTAGAAAATTGATTGTTTATAAATTATATATTATGCGCTTTTTAAATTATTTCATCAATCTTCATCTGAAAGTAAACTTTCCAATTTTTTTTCAGATTTTTAAAATGTTTTCTAACGGTTAAATATCGAGATTCCAATTCAGACCTACAAAGTTTAGATAATAAAATCATTGTAAAATTTCCGGAAACTTGGGGTCAAATGGGGCCCAAATTGAAGCTCCGATGTTCGACTACGAAAGTAGAAAAGCATTTCACCGGAAAAATAGCCAAAGTATTTAAATAAACTTATTTATTTGATTTAAATAAATTTTATTTGGTTGAAATAAATTCTTTTTCTGGGTGTATTCTATCTAATCCAACTGTTCATTAATTATTTTGATGCTTGAAAAAGCTCAACTTTTTATTAACACCAAAAATTCTATGACCATTTGTCTTAATCGAAAAAACGTTAGTTCCTCAGACATTATTCACAATGAGTAATGTCAACCGAATTAGGCATTGAAAAGAAAGAATGTGTTTTAATTAATGAGACTTGCCTTAATGTCCGTAAATGGCTGAGCCGAAATTTTTTAGATTATTAATAATTACACAACAATTGTGGAATCAATGATATAAAAATTCTGGTTGCATAATATATTAATTGAATAATATTCTTTCGTGAGTAATTCCCAGTTTTCAATTGGAAAGAAAATGAGGGCAATTTTTTTCATTATTCATCATTTCCTTCCATCCTCGCAGAATGTAAAATTTCCATTTTTCCAAAGACATTAAGAGTTATGTCACCTTAATTTCCAGGAATGAATTTGGCATGGTGAATGCTCGGTTTCTCGCTAATTCTGCATCACCGATTAGAAACTCAGGTCTCGCAGAAGAGCCGTTACATTTCACCTACGGAATTAGAACGACATTACCCGGGAGTCACATAGGATTAAATATATTTGATGCACGTGAAGTATATTCAGTGTTTCGTAAGGTTTGACACGTGTAAAATCACATAATGGATACAAATGATTCTTCGAGATGGTAATCTGTACGGAGTTGATACTCTCGAACATGGAGTCCTGTGGGCGTTATGGGGGTCTTGATGACTCTATAATATCGAGATAAGGCTCGATGCCTTTGAGTTATGGTACACTGGAGAGGATAAATAATTTTTTTACCATCCTCGTGGTGTTTTTTGTCAGAGACCTCCAGTTTTTTTACGTTTTTACGAAGATGTGACACTGCTGCGAATAATCACCACTTCACTCTCAATGACCGAGATCATTAATCTTCATCATTACCTCTATTTCTTTCCACTTTATTTCGACTCGTGACAATCGCTATTTAGGTTACATCGTTTTACTCATTCGAAAGACTAACTCAAATGTTTTCTGCCGCCGTTTTAATTTTTTTTCATTATCACAAGGGGGGGGGGTGCGAAATATTCTTTGACTTGCCCTATAGGAAGGGTATATTCTATGAAGGCAAGCTGACAAGAATTTTCATGAATATTTTTACGTACAGTCCCTAATAGAATTCTGAGAAAAATGATATGTGATCAGCATCACCCGACACGGAGAAAATTATTTGGTGCATTTCAACAACTAGTTGAAACTAGTTGTTGTTGAACTAATTATTGTTCAAATTCAGCAACTAGTTGTTGACAAAAATTAATTATCAACCAGTTAGTGAATTACAAAAACTAGTTGTTGAATTTCGGCAACTAGTTATTGATATAGCGTCACTATATTATAGTAAGCGTTACTATATTAACATAGTGCTTAATATGCGCTTATTATGTTATACTAAGCATTACTATGTTACATAGTAAGCGTAACTATGTTAACGCTTCCATTCGGAGCCAAAATGAAAAATGTAAATGCTAGCACTAGAATTTCTCTGAAGATTTTCTCTCCGTTTATAAACTGTAATTGCACGTTGAAAATTATTTGGTGAATTTCAACAGCTAGTTGATGCAATTCACCAACTAGTTGTTGAAATTTACAAATTAGTTGTTGAAAGAAATGAATTACCAAAACCAGTTGTTGAATTTCGGCAACTAGTTATTGAAATTCAACAACAGGTTTTGGTAATTCATTTTTTTCAACAACTAATTTGTGAATTTCAACAGCTAGTTGATGCATTCACCAACTAGTTGGTGAATGCATCAACTAGCTGTTGAAATTCACCAAATAATTTTCTCCGTGCAATTACAGTTTATAAACGGAGAGAAAATTTTCAGAGAAATTCTAGTGGTAGCACTGACATTTTTCATTTTGGCTCCGAATGGAATCGTTAACATAGTTACGCTTACTATGTAACATAATATGCTTACTATGTAACATAGTAATGCTTACTATGTAACATAGTAATGCTTACTATAACATAGTAAGCGCATATTAAGTACTATGTTAATATAATAACGCTTACTATAATATAGTGACGCTTACTATGAAACATAATAATTATTGCTTTGTCCATAGTACCTACTACCATTGTGGAGCTAACTATACCCCATAGTAACCATTAGGATGTTCCAAAGTAGCTATTACCATGTCCGTAATAATTCTTACAACACTTTGGTAACGTTCACTATGTGCGGATTCCGTCATAGTAATCTTCACTATTTTATTTTCTCCGTGCGAGTTTTTATGTCATGTTTTATGTTATGTTTTATGTTAGAGTAACCACACCGATAAAAAAAATTATTTTTGCCAAATATTCATTTGCCTGAGAGAAACATTTATTTTTTCAAAATAATAATTCTCAAACCAAGTCATTCCCGGCCGAACCTGATTAGGTTTCAATTATGACAATCATGTTGGCCTAGAGCATTACTATGGTGTACATGACCTTGAATGAACTCCTCAAATAATTATTCATTTTTCCTAAATTTCTTATTGTCTAGAAGGAAGAATTTCGATTATTTTTTTAGTGATTATAATTATTGGGGGAGTTCACTCAGAGTCATAACTACCATGATCATCTTCTAGAGCAATATAATTGTCATAATTGAGAGCTACTGAGAATTGGCTGGAAATGACTCGATCGAAGAAATACGGTATTGAAAAAATGAATAATTCTCGCAAGTAAATGGATAAGTGGCAAATTTTTTTTTTTTAGTGT